ACACACACACACACACACACACACACACACACACAGAGAGACATAACACAAGAATGTTTAATGAATCGTATTCGTCGAACACACATATATCGAGGGAATTGCTGAATTGTTACTAATAACGTGTAGTAGCATTTGTTTAACTTATCGCTTGTAAATTTAGTACAATGGATAATCATGGTTAATCACATTTTAATAATTATACGTTTCAATTAGGTTAATAAATTTGATTTGTCATCGATCAAAAAAAAAAAAAACAAAAAAAAAACAAAAAAAAAAAATAAACAAAAATACAAATATTTAAAGATATTTTTTATTCGATGATATAAAAAAAAAAAAAAATTTTTTTACGATAAATTTATCATCTAACACACGCATACTTAATAAAATTATTATTTTTTAATTATTGTAAACATTTGATTTATTATTAAGTAAATAAACTACTCACCGTGTACTCGTTGTATTTCGGATAATCAGGGTAATCAGTATTGTCTATTAATGGATTATTATTATTATTATTATTATTATTATTGTTATTGTTGTTTCTTTTGACAATTAGTTGATCAAATTTTGCACAGATGATAAATGGTATTAGAATTAATACGAGAAACGAATAAATTACGTTATTTTTCATCATAGTTATTCTCCTAGTACTACACAAGTACTTATTTTCTCCTAGTAATATTATCTATGATCAATTCTTCTTCATTCAATTATTGAATTATTAAACAATTATCAGATTTCTTTCTTTCTTATTGTTTATCAAATTAAATTCCAATTCTGTCACGACGAATTATTTGATGATCGTTTTATCTCTTCTTCTTCTTTTTTTTTTTTCTTTATCTTCTTCTTTTATTTTCCTTCCTGTTGTTTATAAACACCTCGTTGCGTGTTAATCGTTCACACCTTTCCTATGTTCACACCTTTCCAACAAATTTCTTTCCTTTGAATTTTAATATTTTTACTCGTATGTGCAAATTCTGATTATGGTTTTATTTCAATTGGTTTTCATATCGACACACGATCACAATATATACATATATATATATATATATATAGATATCTATATATATATATGTATATATGTATGTATTTAGAATAGGGAATTAATTTATCGATAGTTTTCTATTTGATCTGTCCGTGATGTCAACGAAGAAAGTACTCTCGAGGACGCAATGAAACAACCGCGCCGGCGAAAGCGCTTCTATTTATTTGGAATATGGCGCGCAAGCGCTTTTAAACGTTCACTGAGATTTTCTTCTCGTTTTCTTCTCTTTTAACGTTATAATAAATAATAATAATAATAATAAT